TATATATATATATATATACTCGTGCATGTCTTTGGGGCGGAGCTTCCCAAAGGAGGGGCAGAAGAAGCCAAAATGGTCCGAACGTCTAAGGGAAATCAATGTTTGTTGCTTCTCGCCTTTTCACCTCCGAGGGTCCCCGAGGCCTGAAGATGGCTCCAAAATTGCCCCAGGGCCTCGTATGTATGTACTTGTGTGTATGCGGGGTCCCCGGGGTCCTTGTATTGTGGTCCTATGCTGCCGGGGGCTTGTCGGGGCCAGGTCCGATGCGTGAGCTGTGCTTGTGTGCGATGCGAGGCTCTTGGGCTGCTCAGGGGCTGCGGGCTTGAAATATGTGTATGTGTGGGGGGTCTCTGGGGTTCTGTCTGGTGGCCCTCTGTTGCCTGTGGCTTGTTGGCTGTGTGCAAGGAGGAGGAGCTGGTGGCTGGCATTCCGGTGCTTGCGTGTGTATCGCTACGCTTCGTTCAACATCTTGTGTCTCGTCCTATACTGCAATGCTGAGCGCGAAGCGCTTGACAGAAGAGCGAGGCGCACGGAAACAAGCATGAAAGGATTCGGAGGTGCGTGACGAGGTAAGGGAAAGTACGGAAGAAAGAACACAACCGGGCATGTATTCCCTGCAGAAATGACTGAACGGATGGAAACGGCCTGTATGACCGTTGGAATCGCTGCAAGAGCACCCCGGGATACCTCAAGGTTGTCGAAGAGAGCATCCGAGTCGAAATGAAACAACGGCAGGGGTCAAAGACAATTCCCAAATGCCTGAAGATGTTGGTGAAACCAGAGGATTCCACGAGGGTAGGAGACTCCACGAAGAGAGAAATTTGTATGTGTATGCGGGGTTCCTGGGGTCCTTGTCTGGCCTTCTATGCTAGTGACGTGTCGGCGGTGCGCGAAAAGGGGGGGATCTGGTGGCTGGCATTCTGGTGCGCGTGTGTGTGTGCGTGTGTGTGTGTGTGATGTGCGAGGCGAGGCCTCGGGGGGGTTCGGGACCGGAAAATAGCTCCCAAATGGCCCTAGAGCTCTTATGTATGTGTGTATGCGGGCTCCCCGGGGCCTTGTAAGGTGGTCCTATGCTGCCAGGGGCTTGTTGGCGGTCATCGAAAAAGGCGGGGACCTGGTGGCTAGCACTCTGGTCTTCCCCGTCGTAGTTGTAATTCTTGTCCTGTTCCTGATGCGAACCCTCCTGCCCCTCTTACTCCGCCTCGTCCTGCTCCCTCCTCGTTCGCATCCCGCCGCCCCGCCCATGGCGGCACACCCCTGACTTGGATCGTGAGTTCGGGGCGTCTTGGATGGGGACCTGGTGGCTGGCACTCTGGTCCTCCCCGTAGTAGTGTTAATTCTTTCCTTTTCCTGATGCGAACCCTCCTGCCCCTCTTACTCCGCCTCGTCCTGCTCCCTCCTCGTTCGCATCCCGCCGCCCCGCCCATGGCGGCACACCCCTGACTTGGATCGTGAGTTCGGGGCGTCTTGGGTGTCTCTCGGTGCCACGCGGCGTGCTTCTGTTGGGCTTCTGGAAGCGCTGAGATGGATCGTGAATCGGGGGCCTCCTGAGGCCTTTCTGGGAACGCCGTGCAGGACGTAGACGCGAGACCTTCCATACGCTTCAGGGGGTTTATTGGGAAGCCTCCCCTCCTGGAGCCTTTTGAAAGCATCTTGGGAATCTCTGGGCGCTTCCTGGGCCTTCTTGGGGGTCCTTTTTGGGTTCTTCTGGGCTGGGTGGGGGCATTCTTGGGCCGTCCAGGGGCCCTCTTGGACCGTCTTGGGGGGCTTGGACCGTCTTGGAGCCCTCTTGGGGCGCTTCCTTGGGCCGTCAGGGGGGCCTCCTTTGGGACCCTCTGGGGCCCTTCTCGGGCCGTCTTGGGGCTCTCTTGGGCCGTCTTGGAGCTCTCTCGGGCCGTCTTGGCGCCTTCTTGGGGGCGTCTGGGCCGTCTTGGGGCGACCTTGGGGGCCTCTTGGGCCGCCTTGGACGCTTTTCAGACCGACGAAACGAATATGTTAAAAATATACGCTTTCCGAAGGGAATGGGATGATTTTTGCGTCTTGGGGGTCTGTGGGGGGCGTCTTGAGGGCCTCTGTGGCCGTCTAGAAGCCGTCTTGGGCCCTCTTGGAGCGCTCTGGGGCAGTCTTGGGGCCCTCTGAGTGCGCTCTTGAGCCACCTTGGATCTTAAGGCGCGTTGGGAGCGTTCGTGAAGTATTTAGACGGTCCGGGGGATGCCCTGAAGGACTCCTTCGGGGTCTCCGCTGGTGCCCCCGGAGACCCTGGTATTAGGTGTGCCCCATCCCTTGTGGGTTTTTCCGTGTCATGTAAAAAGGATAAAGAATATATTCGAAGTTCGACGATCGAAGATTTCCTGAGTGCCTGGATCCTTCCAGGCATTCAAGAAGCGACCAACATCGATTTGTTCGGAGCTACTGCGACTTTTTCGGCATGTCATGGGAACGCTCCGGACTTCCTAAAAGGACCTTCGCGCGTGAAGAAACCATGATTCCTTCCCCGCTCCCGCGTGCAAGCGTGCAAGCGCATCGGGCGAACGCAGTGGCAACAGGCACCAAGGATATCAGAACAATGAGCTGGTCGCCCGTCCAGGCCTCGAGGTCCCCACTGCTGAAGCAAGCGATGATTATTGCTTCGATGGGGGAGCGTCTGGAACAAGGCGCATGGCGCGAAGCGCCAATGCAGTCTTGTATGTGTATATATATACACACACGAAAGAGCGTGTTCTACCGCTGCTGGCGGAAAACCGGGGGGGGTCACTACCGGTTCGAACCCCTCCCCCCCCTGCGGAAAACCAGGGGGGTAACTACCGGTTCGAACCCCTCCCCCCCCAGTCCATCATGAAAAGGGGGGGGGGGTACTGCCGGTTCGAACCCCCCCCCCTCGAAAACCGGGGGGGTCACTACCGGTCCGAACCACCCCCCCCCTCGAAAACCAGGGGGGGGTGCGGACAGTGGTGGGGACGGTGGTGGTGGGGACAGTGGTGAGGAGACAGCGGGACAGTGGTGGGGACAGTGGGACAGGGGACAGTGGTGGGGACGGTAGTGGTGGGGACAGTGGTGAGGACAATGGTGGGAACAGTGGGGACAGTGGTGGGGACGGTGGTGGTGGGGACAGTGGTGTGGGGACGGTGGGAATGTGGTGGAAAGAGTGGGACAGTGGAGGGTACAGTGGTGGTGGGGACAGTGGTGAAGGCGGTGGCGAGGACGGCGGTGGGACAATGGGACAGAGCTACAGTGGGGACAGTGGTGGGGACAGTGGGGACAGTGGTGGGAACAGTGGACAGCTCAGTGGGACAGCGGAGGAATCAGTGGGACAGTGGGGACAGTGGGGGTAGTCGGGCAGTGGTTGGGGCCGTGGAGAAAGTGGGGAGAGTGGAACCCTGGTGGGAACAGTGGTGGGGACAGTGGGGACGACAGTGGTGGGGGCACTGGTGGGGACAGTAGGGACGGTGGTGGAACCAGTGGGGACAGTGGTGGTGAGGACAGTGGTGCTGGGAACAACAGTGGGGGATGTGGTGCGGACGGTGGTAGGGACCGGGAGTCGTTTGCTGGCGGTGAGGGGGGGGATGGGGAGGGGTTCGAACCGGTAGTGACCCCCCCTCTGGTTTTCGAGGGGGGGGGGAGGGGTTCGAACCGGTAGTGACCCCCTCCCGGTTTTCGAGGAGGAGGGGGGGAGGAGGGGGGGGAGGGGGGGTTTTGCCGGGGGGGGGGGGGGGGGGTCCAGCAGGGGGCGGGATTTTCGGAGGGGGGGGGGGGGGGGGGAAACCCCGGGTTCCGGAGGAAGAGGGGAGAATTTTCCACAGTAAAGCGGCGGTGGATCGTGGACCACGCTCTCTCATATATACAAAGGTATATCCATGTCCATACATTTATATATATGTACATATATATATATACATATATATATATACACATATATATATATATATATAGATAATGCATGTTTCCCCCACTTCCCAAACCCCATATTTTCTCGGGATCGACGATTCATTGTGTCTGTGTGCTTCTTCCCCTCCTCAGCGACCTCCAGTGCGCGGTTTGCGGGGGGCCACGGGCGGGCCAAGTCCAGGCGCGCAAGCCTGCGCCAAAGGGGTCTCCCGTGGGCCCGCACCGAAACCCCAACCTCCGACGCCTTGATCTGCCAAGTGCGGAATCCCCAAACGTGCCGACCCCTGTCTCGGGGGGAACGAAAGGGGGGGATAGCAAAGGGTAGGGTAGAGACTCAGTTCACGTAGCTGATTTTCCCAGCGCCTCCCGGCGCCAGGAGGCGCCCATGTATCGAGGAATGGGCCCGGCAGCGGGGCCGAAACCAGCTGCATGCAGCAGATTTCGTAACCCCCCTTTTCCCTATCCCCCCATTTCGATCGGCCCGACTTTTCCAGTTGGCGGCGAGCGAGAGGGGGAAGTGAGAAGAAGAAGGCCCTCTCAGAAGGTTCGGAAGTCCCCCCCCCTTCTGAGGAATTTTCCGGGCCTTCCGGGGAAACAGAGAAAACTTCTCAGAAGGCGCGAGGGCTTCCGAGAAGTCCCGCCGCTGAGAATGGCCTTCTCCTTCGCATTTACCCCCCTCGCTCGCCGCCGACCCATGGCCAATCTTTCATCTCAAGTTGTTTTTTTGTCGGTCCCCCGGGCTGCCGAGGGCCCACGGAGGCCGAAAGCTGCCCCGAAATGCCTCCCGACGTGCTTCCTGTCACCGCGCGAGGGTGCCTGGGAAGGTCACTTGAGCCTGGGCCGACCGTCCGGGCATTCCTATAGTCCTACCACGAAATGTTCTTAGAACCCCAAGCAATTCTAATAACCAAAACAATGTTCTTAGAACGTAAGCCGGATGTGATAAAACAAGACAGACTCCGCCAGAAATGTTCTAAGAACATTTCGTGGAAACCACGAAAGGTTCTTAGAACATTGCTTGGTAGGGTTACAGGCACGCCGGGACGCTTCGCCACTGCTTGAGTCACTCCGCCGAAGGGTCGCTCCTACGAGCGGCCGGCTTTCCACGCCGGGGCCTCTGGGCGGATACCTGTCGCCCTTCGTCCCGGCGCTCGGCGACGGCGGCCTCCAGCACCGCTTCTTCCGAAACGCGAGGCTGCCGGGAGCGCCGCGGTCCGGCCTCACCCAGTGGCCCTCCTCGGCCGGGGGCGGCGCCTCCAGTTTCTCAGGGGTGCGGGCGAAAGAGGGGAGGGGGGCCCCGAAATCCTGGCGACGCAAGCGTTCCACACCAGGCGTTTTCGCCCCATTTCGGGTTCAGGGGCTATCGCAAATCGATCCGGCTCGGAACAGTGCAGCAGAAAGCTGGGGTCTGGGGCTCCTGTCGGGATTGTTCACGGTGTTGAATTTTTTGTTGCAACGTCGGATCCCGGGGTCGTCAGAGGTTATGCTGAAGACGAGGGAAGGATTTCTTGTCAGACTACACAAGAACACGCCTGAAAACGAGAAAGCAAGGAAAACACATCTCAGCAGGAAGAGGAATCGGAAGGTGAACGCTGCGGCTCGTTTATTGCAGGTCCCGCGAGGCCCAGGAACAGCTTACGTACCCGAAGCCTCTCGTGTTCTTTCGTGTTTTTTCTTGACGCTTGGAGGTATGGCGCGGGAGGGCGAGGGAGTGAAGCACCCGCCCCCCCTTGCTTCTCCTCTTTTCTCGAGGCTGGGATTTGGACGAGGATGAAGAGGATGAAGGTCGCTCGCTACTCCTGGACTGGCGGCGGTGCCTCCGCTGCAGAGAGAAGTGGTTGAGGGAAAAGCTGAAGGACATGAGGGAACAGGAAGAGGGTGAGGAGACGGCGTAGGGGAGTGGAGAGGAAAGGGAGGAGGAAGACGTAAGCACGTGCCCCTTAATTTTCAATTTCTCATGATTCGAAGAGCGTCCGTGTCCAATTCGAGTTTTGGGTTTACAAATGTTTTCAAACATAAAATCTCACGTGTGCCCATTAGCGGTGTGAAGCAGGAGGGGAGGAGGGAGGATGATGCGAGGGGGTAGGGGGATGCGGAGGGGAGGGGGAGGGACGAAGGAGGAGAAGAGGAGGGGTAATATAAGGGAAAGGGTGAGGAGAAGGGAAAAGGGCGGCAGAACAGGAAGGAGAGGAGGAGGATGAGGAGGAGGAGGAAGCAGATTATCTACAAATGTCTAGATCCCCTGTGGCCAACTTTCAAGACTCCGGAGTCTACCTAACTCTAACTCCTCAGCCCTCTTCCCCCTCCTTCTGGAGCAGAAGTGTGGGAAGGGAGGATGGTGAGGATTAGGAGGAGGCTGACGATGAGGAAAAGAAAGGGAGAGGAGGAGGAGGAGGAGGAGGAGGAGGAGGAGGCGGAGGCGGAGGAGCAGGACCAGGAGCAGGAGCAGGACCAGGGCGAGGAGGAATCTCATTGAGAAGGGAGGAAACAGACAGAGGCGGGAGGGGCAGGCGGCGTAGGAGGAGAAGTATGACAAGGGAAGATCCAACAATTTTCCAGCACGCCCTCCATCCTTTGAAATAGCCAAACCTCTCCTTTTCCTTCTCCTTGTCCTCCTCCTCCTCTCCTCCTCTTCGTCGTCGTCCTCCGCCTCCTTCTCCTTTCTCCTCCTACCCCCTCCACGTACCACCAGAGACATCCGAGAAACACGAATCAAACATATCAAATACAAGAACACATGAGAAGACGAGCAGAAACATCAGACGGCTTCTGGAAGCGCCTGACAATACACCTCCTTCCCTCTCCTCCTCTCTCCTCCCGCCTTCGGTGGGCTGAGGAGAAGCGAGACGGGAAAAGATCCCCAAACCCCTTGTCCGACGCCGTCCCGACCCGTGTTGTTGTTGCTGCTGTTGCAGCTGCTGCTGCTGTTGTCGTCGTCGTCGTTGCTGTTGTTTTTGTTGAGCTCTCACTGCTGAAGAATACTTATTGTTGACCCCGCCCCTCCGGTAACATGTGTTTTTTCAAGTGAAGTGCCCCTCCCGGGGCTCGCACCTTCTTTTTTGTTAGGGGAAACCTCGCTCCTCAAACTGCGCCCCTAGCCCCCGGACTGCAACCACAACGGTTCCCGCCTGATAGCTCTTCGTAATTTACTGAAGAATCGCGCTCTCGCTCGGGACTCCCGTGTAATTTATCCAAGAATCGCGCTCTCGCCTGTGACTTCCTCGCAACGTATTCAAGCGCCACGCCCTCGCCATTCAGGAATCGCGCTCTCGTCTGGGACTTCCGTACAATTTACGGAGGAATCGCGCTCTTGCCCGAGACTTCCCAGCGAATTATGCAGGACTCACGCATTCGCGCAACATACGTGCTTTTAAAATTGAAGTGCCCCTTCCCGGGCTCGCTGCTTATCAACTGGGGAAAATATTCCTGCTCAAGCTGTGCTCCTGGCCCAAAGTTTACAACAACAACAACAACAACAACAACAACAACAACAACAACTGCTCCCGCCTTGTACTTCCCAGCAGCCCTGGACTTCTTTGTAATGTATCGAAGACTCGTGCTCTCGCCTGATACTTCCTCACAATGTATTCAAGCGCCGCGCTTTCGACGCTCAGGACTCGCGCTGTCGCTTGGGACTTCCTCGCAGTTGATTCAGGCGCCGCGCCCTCGACACTCAGGAATCACGCTCTCGATCTGAACTTCCTCACGAGTTTTACTTTGGAGCCGCGCTGTCGCTCAAGGAACTTTGCGATTCATGCAGGGCGCACGCTTCAGTACCCCGCTTGCTCGACCTGGCTGCTTAGGCCCCCCTTTTTAGGGTCCTATCCGCCCGATCCCCCCGTCTGATTATGCCGCGTGTTTTCTGCTTCTGGCCCCCTTCCTGCTGCTCTCTCTCGTGCTCCGCCCTCCTCTCTCCCCCTTGTCCCTTCCTTCCATCCGTCATCTCTTCCCCTGCCTTAGGCGCTGCACGAAATACACGTTGCAAATAAGAAAGATATCCCCCCAAGGGGATACGATCGAATATGAAGAGGGTGGGTATCAAGGGCTTGGGATACACGTCTTAGTTGGCACGCGAGCAGATGAAAGCGAGCCGTTGTAAAATGATTGCTGTTAATATTGAGCTCTCACTACTGAAGAATAACTATTGTTGATCCCCCCCCTCCGGGGAAGCAATTGGCGGAGCAACTGAAACCACCCCAGTTGCAACTGAGACCGCCCCCAGTGGCGCCTAGGGGGCCGGGGGGCGGGCGGAGCAACTGAGACGGGTGGGCGGAGCAACTGGGCCAGCAACTGACCCAACTGACCCAACTGACCCAGACTGCCCCACACTGCCCCAGACCGCCCCAACTGCCCCACTGTCCCAGACTGCCCCAGACTGCCCCAGACTGGCCCAGACTGCCCCAGAGTGCCCCAACTGCCCCACACTGCCCCAACTGCCCCAGACTGCCTCAGACTGCCCCAGACTGCCCCAGACTGCCCGAGCGTGCCCCAGACTGTCCCAGACTGCCCCAGACTGTCCCAGACTGCCGAGGGGGCCGGGGGCGGGCGGAGCAACTGACACGGGTGGGCGGAGCAACTGGGCCAGCAACTGACCCAACTGACCCAACTGACCCAGACTGCTCCACACTGCCCCAGACCGCCCCAACTGTCCCAGGCTGCCCCAGACTGCCCCAGACTGCCCCAGAGTGCCCCAACTGCCCCACACTGCCCCAACTGCCCCAGACTGCCTCAGACTGCCCCAGACTGCCCCAGACTGCCCCAGACTGCCCCAGACTGTCCCAGACTGCCCCAGACTGTCCCAGACTGCCCCAGACTGCCCCAGACTGCCCCAGACTGTCCCAGACTGCCCCAGACTGTCCCAAACTGCCCCAGACTGCCAAGGGGGCCGGGGGCGGGCGGAGCAACTGAGACGGGTGGGCGGAGCAACTGGGCCAGCAACTGACCCAACTGACCCAACTGACCCAGACTGCCCCAGACTGCCCCAGACTGCCCCAGACTGCCCCAGGCTGCCCCAGAGTGCCCCAACTGGCCCAGACTGCACCAAACTTCCCAGACTGCCTCAGACTGCCCCAGACTGCCCCAGACTGCCCCAGACAGGCCCCAGACTGCCCCAGACTGCCCCAGACTGCCCCAGACTGCCAAGGGGGCCGGGGGGCGGGCGGAGCAACGGAGACGGGTGGGCGGAGCAACCGGGCCAGCAACTGACCCAACTGACCCAACTGACCCAGCTGACCCAGACTGCCCCAGACTGCCCCAGAGACTGCCCCAGACTGCCCCAGGCTGCCCCAGAGAGCCCCAACTGGCCCAGACTGCCCCAGACTGCCCCAGACTGCCTCAGACTGCCCCAGACTGCCCCAGACTGCCCCAGACAGGCCCCAGACTGCCCCAGACTGCCCCAGACTGCCAAGGGGGCCGGGGGGCGGGCGGAGCAACTGAGACGGGTGGGCGGAGCAACTGGGCCAGCAACTGACCCAACTGACCCAACTGACCCAATTGACCAAACTGACCCAACTGACCCAACTGACCCAACTGACCCAGACTGCCCCAGACTGCCCCACACTGCCCCAGACTGCCCCAGGCTGCCCCAGAGTGCCCCAACTGGCCCAGACTGCCCCAGACTGCCCCAGACTGCCTCAAACTGCCCCAGACTGCCCCAGACTGCCCCAGACAGGCCCCAGACTGCCCCAGACTGTTCCAGACTGCCCCAGACTGCCCCAGACTGCCAAGGGGGCCGGGGGGCGGGCGGAGCAACTGAAACGGGTGGGCGGAGCAACTGGGCCAGCAACTGACCCAACTGACCCAACTGACCCAGACTGACCCAGACTGCCCCAGGCTGCCCCATGCGCCAAGAGGGCTTCCGCGAAGGGCCCGAGAGAGGCCCTCCTGGACCCTTGCAGGGAGTAACGCTCCGGCCCCAGCTGCACCCGGGGCCGCGCGTGCCGCGGGGGGCCTCGACTGAGGGCGGGGGGCTCCCAGAGCCTTCCGACGGGCCCAAAGGCGGCCCCAAGACAGGCCCAAGACGTTCGGAGCCTGCCCAGGCCGTTCGGAGGGGCCCAAAGGCGCCCCAAGACAGGCCCAAGAGGGCACCAGGGCAGCTTATTAAAACAGATTGTTTATAACGTACTCCTGGGCCCTCTTGGGGGCCTCTCGGAGCCTCCCTGGGGGCCTCTGGGAGCTCTCTAGGGGCCCTCTTGGACCCTTCCCAGAGGGTTCGGGGGGGGGCTCAAAGGCGCCCCAAGACGGGCCCAACAAGG